GGATGTTAGACATCCTCCTCAGGATACTAGGCTACCAACGTTCGGCTTACAGGGCGTTAGAAAAACTCTTAAGGTCCAGGTCGTCATCAATTTAGGCTTCCTCTTCCGACAGCGAGACAATTTGCCTCCTCAGTCAACTAGGCTATCAGACTGCCACCTCAGGTAGCCTGACTCTTCTGCCATTTTACAGACACAATTGTACTAAACTATTTACAGAACAATGCCAATTTTGCAGTTTCATACAAATAGTAGACAATAATTGTATAATTATCAATATGAACTTGCATAAGATCAGCTAAAAATCGAACGCAAAACAATAAACATTTATTTACAAGATGAGTATTATCGCCGCCTAAATTGTAGTGCAGTTCCATATATAATAAATTCACTCGCTTTCAAATTGAGTAGGCAGATTTAATTAATATGATACAACAATAAAACTTGAGTTCAACATAAAATTACAATCTTCGACATTCAACGGTCAGTGTTGCGACATTTAACCGTAAGGGAAATTCGTGGAATTTTAACGTTAACATTGCGACATTTAACGTCAAATGGTTTTGTGACATTTAGCGCGGTTGGCGGACATTTAGCGTCAATGGTGGACATTTAGCGGGCAAGTGCGACATTTAAGCGGCGTTGGCGACATATAACGGCGCCACAATCAGTCACCCTATACGAAAGAATTAAAAAAAGATGAATTTTGCTGTATAAAAAATTTGAAAACGAGTCCGAACAATACAGTCGCAGAAATAAGTGTTCGAATCCTTTTGGCATTACGGACGATTTCAAAAATTAATAGCACAATAAAAAGCAAATCAGATCTTGTTTCTGCAGAATGCAGATATTGACATCAGCCACAACTTGGAAAAATACAAAGTCGGCAAGCATAGGACAATTTAGTTAAATTTGTAAGACGCCAAACAAAAGTCGAACTTTTCAACAGGTCAAAACACCTGAAAGAACATAAGATTTATGTCAACGAAGATTTGACGAAAATGAACGCGGACATGTTGGCATCCTGTCGTGTAAAAGACAAGTCAAATGTTGAAAAAGCGTGGTCTTTTGAAGGAAACATTTACGTGAAATATGCATCACAGGGATTTGCTACGCAATTGCAACTAAACTACCGCTATTGGTTACATCTTCCGTAACCGGAAAAGGATAAAACACATGCTCAGGATTTAAGCAAAAGCCAAGGATACTCAACTACATCTAAACAGCCATATAGTTCTATGCCTCAAACAACAATCCAGACCCCTAGGCAGTATTCCAAACCAGGACTGTCTTATGCAGTCGCTTATCACTTATTTTCAAAAAGAAAAACATATTGTGTTCACAAACAAGTGAATCGTTACGAGATTAAAGTTAATTCCCTTTGACCGATTTCTTCATCCTATATGCAGAATTTGCTATATAAACAATAAACTAAAATGATGACAACGAAGAAGATCTTGTTTCTTATAACGTATAAAAAATACTAAAGTTCTCTTGTTTTTTTCTGTAAATACAGGACTGGTTATCGTCCTATGGTGTAGAATATTATCTTATTTCAGCCGTGGCTACCGACGCTGATGATAACTTGATATTGTTAACATTGTTTTTATTTCTTTCTTTTCTTTCCTTTTTGACATCTGTCAAGTAGCTTTTTAAAAACCTGTCACTTTTGTTTATACATACTATCTTTTTCACCTGTCGAGTAAATTGTCATTTGGTGGAAGCTACTCATCAATACTTTTTTGTCACATGTCGAGTATCTTTGACAATCAAATTGTATGTTGTTTAGACATATTATCATTGTGTCACTTGTCTAGTAGCTTTTTAAACGACCACCAATGTTGTTTATACATGTACATTAAATCATTGTGTCACATATCGAGTAGCTTTTAAAAGACCATCGGTGTTGTTTATACATATAATCAGTGTGTCACATATCGAGTAGCTTTTAAAAGACCATCGGTGTTGTTTATACATATAATCATTGTGTGACCTATCGAGTAGCTGTTTTAAATGATTATCAATGTTTGTTTATACATACAATCAATCATTGTATGAACTGTCAAGTAGCTTTCTAAAAGAGATGGAAATTACAGATTGTAAATGATGCAAATACTTTTTGATTTGTTACATTTTTAAATGAAAGGGCTGCAATCTCTGTGGTATTTTCTGATCTTTGCAATCTGAATCGTACTGTATATCTGTATGTATTTTCCTGTATAAGTTTATTTTATATACTATAATTCACCTTGCATGGCACCGAGATGCAGCGACTGCGTTCTGATTTCTTACTTTAACAGTTTGAGTTTGATACATACGGAATTATGCATGACTAGAGTTGCATCAAAATTCATTTCTGTTCATTGTTTTTGACAGCCACACTTTATCCTTTTATCCTTGCATATCGTGGCTACTTCCTTAATAAAAAAAGTTGCCTCGACTGGGATTTGAACCCAAGACTCTCACACCCTAAACGAGCGCGTTACCCTTGCACCACGGAAAAGTTTAACGGAAACAGCCTGAATAAAATCAAATAATTCTAATTTTAGAATATCTATTCCCACAGATATATAAATCTTATGTAATCCTTATTAATTTGGAGGTATTTTCTTCACGATAACCTGTTGTCTAAAATTGATGTAAATAATTTAGCGAAAATCTTCTCCCTAAAACAGTCCGACATGTATATATTCCACTACTCGACAGTGTAATACGCTCTGAGGTATTCGGTAATCGACATCGCTAAAAATAGCATTTTCATATTCATCCGCGTAATTAGTAAATTGACAATTCTATAAGCCAACGCTTCTTTTAAACTTTGAATGCGTTGTAATTTGTTTGATACTTAAACAAAATAAAAATATTTCTTTCTTTAACATCGCTAGTTTTGAGCTGTTTTGAGAACTACTTGTTGTTAGGTTTGTCGTGAAAATTCTGTTTCAGAGATTGAGTGTCAGCATTGAATTTTCTGATCTGCGATCAGAAAATACAAAAATGTCTGTACATGCCAGCAGTTCCGCGTTATCCTAAATGCATTCTCGATTGCGATTTTATGTTTTTGTACGTTTTCTCGTCAAAAAATTAGCGGGTGTTGAAAATTGAACGACCGGCGACCGGGTAAAAATACTCACAAAATCGGCACACACTTGAAATGTACTTGTAAATATATTGTTAATAGAAATTTCACCTAAGATATAAACAAATTTAATAATAAAATATGAACCAAAATTATTAACTTTTACATTTTCCCTACACCATACCAATATTGTGCTCTTGTATTTGTATTTCGAAATTTAACAAAAAATGGTAGGAATGATAAATAATATGATTCGTTTATACCCCAATCTTACCATAAATGATGATTCAATTTGACGAAGTTTATGCCGGCTCGCCACGGCGAGCCGGTATTACGGGGGTAGGATTTTACTGAGGAAAAAACCTAAAACTCCGGAAGCTATCCGAAAATTTAATCGAAGCTTGGCTTCCAGCTTTTACAAAAAAATTTATCTACTCAGGGCTAGGATCCAAAATATTTAGCCAATTCAAATTTAAATCTTAACATAGCGTCAAAAAAACCTTCCAAATTTTCACGCCCATTTTTAAAAAATCAGAAGTATTGTTTTGGGGGGGAAAAAAAAAAGATATAATATGATTTTAAAAAGTTTCTTTATGAATTCCTTTTTAAAAAAATCAATTTACATGACTTCTGTTTTGCCCCATTTTACCCGTTTTTTTCTGGGAATTAAAAGGGTTTTTGTTTTGGGTTTAAAAATTTTAAAATAAGTGTACAAACTTTGGGTTTTTGTGCAAAAATTTTTTTTTTTCCTTTTTTCCCGGGCATTTTACCTTTCCCGGTATTTTTGTGTAAAGTATTTTTGGCCGGGATTTGATACGCCCGGGGTCCGGGAAAACGATAAAAAATTTGGAGGGGAAAAAACCAGTTAAACTATATTTTTGTTGATTGTGTCCCCTAAAGAAAAGGCCCCTTAAAAGGTTTTAATTTTTTTTTTGATGTTTTTGAAAAAGTTAAATTAATTTAAATTTGAAATAGAAAATTTTTGAACTATTTATTTAAAAAAACTTTTTTAAATTTCGGAAATCACAATACCTTTTAAATTTTATGCCAATTTAAATTTGGAAAAAAAACAAAAATATTTTCTTAATTGGGCAAAACCCCATCCGTAAAGTTTTAAAAAGATCCCAACTTTTCTGAAAAATATATACTTTAAATGGCCAAACCGTGAATTTTTTACATTTTAAAACCCATCCCGGGTTTTTTGAAAAAAAATTTCCCCCAATCGCAATTCCCGGGATCCCCCCCAATTTTTTAATAGGATCCCCGCTTATCTTTAAAACATTTTTCTTTAGACCCCGGTCAAATTTTCCGGGGTCCCTTTTATTTTTTTTTTAGGGTCCCGGGTTTTCGGCGTATGATTGAAAAACCCGTGTTTTCTTTTAAATTGTCCTCCCCTTTCCAAACTAAATAAACAACAATTTTTACAACCTTTAATTTTTTATAAAAGACTCTTTTAAATTACCCCCACCCCAAAATTTTGGGTCAAGGGCAAAGGCCAATTAAAAAATGTCATAGCCCCCCGGGTTTTTCATTCTATCGTTTTCAAGGCCAAACCTTTCCAAAATTTTACCCCTACTCAAATCTTTGGGAAAACTGAAGAAACCTTTTTAAGCCTTTTGTCAAATTTTTGGGTTTTAAGATTTTTGAAATTTTAAAATGGGCCCAATTCCAGTTTTTAAAAATTTTCCTAAAATAAATTTAAAAAAATTTTTTTTAAATTTTCATTGGGCCAAAATTATATACACTGGCCCTCGGGCACCGGGCCCCGTGTTTACCCTTACTTTTATTTTGAGTTCGTTTTAAATTCTTTTAGCTAACAAACGGGGGGTTTTTTCAATTTTTAAAAACCCCCCCTTTTAAAAAAGGGTTTCGAAGCCGAAATCGCCCACTAGCTTTTTGAAAAGCTAACCTTGTATTCTTATTTCAGTTGAACGTGTTTTTAAATCGACTCACGAGCCAGCCGATAGGTTTGACGGCATGTGGACTCTTTGTACTCGACAAACCAACTATTGTAACAGTAAATCACTTTTTACTATTACCATAATCCCTTTCTTATTTAAATTATGTCAAATTGATGAAAAAAAATGAGTTGATATTATATGTTTCACACAATATATCGAGCTTCAAATTTACAATAGGAATAAGATTTTTAAACGCATAATTCTCTAGAATAAATTATATTCGTACCCAAGTAACATCGTTTTTGAACAAAAGCATGCTTTTCTTGTTGTTATAACTATATCTTTGACTGATTAGTTTTGGCATCATGTGGGAAGTTATTCCTCTTGGTATGCTGAAACAGTTTTGTAACATGGCGATTAAGAATTTTTTATGCAATGAATATTACATAAGTTTAATTTTGTTAATGTTTTACGGCGCACTAACATGCCATACTGTATAGATACGTTCTGGACAGCTTTATTGGTGGAGGAAGACATAAGATACCCCTCCGTACATCTAATCAGGCAAGAACGGGCTCATTTTAGTTTAATGAATTAAAAAAATTCTTTCTTCTTATACCCGGTAGTATCTTTTGGTTCATGTATGGTCATTAGATTTCGATGAGAATTTTTTCAATTATAACTATGATTATCCTAAACAACATGTAAACAAACTATTATTTTGATAATTTTATTCAAGGACGTATTTCTGTATTCCAGTTTGTCGGAAGCATAGCCACGTACGCTATCGTTATGATTCAGTTCAAACCAGGTGAGGGCAGTTACAATGTCGTCTGCAATTGCACGGTATGAATCATATTAAAAGAAAGGCGGGATCGCTTCGTCATAGTCTGAAATGGTGGTCATAGAATACCTGTTCTGTTAAAGGACAAACAATGTGTGTTTTAGTAACAGACAAATATTAAATTTTGTTTATGCATTTTTGTGTTTTGACATCATTGGATAGTATCTACATAATTGTATTTTATTATTATTTGTCTTATTTAAGTTCTTGTTTATTAAAAGAAGTAAAATCTTCGTCGATTGTATCAAGTAAAGACACTGTCAGAGTGGTTATTCAATACAATAGGGATCTATCGTAAACATTAGCTCTATAAGAATATGTAAAATAAGACTAACTAGGAAGGGCGTTATTCACAAGACCACCGGGAAAAAACCCGTAGCACACCAAAAAGGAACCCAAAGGGGGGAAGGGGAAAAAACGGGAAGGGGCGCCACCCTAAACCCCCCCAAAAAGGAAAAAGCTACAGTTTCATTTGTTAAAAACAGTTTCATTTATTGATTTGTTTTTGTAATAACTTTTTTATTGGAATTTTGGGTTTTTTGTTAAAAAAGTTTAAACCCGAATGTTCCCCCCAAATTAAAAAATAAAAAATACATAAAAGGTTTTAAATTAGTTCAAGGGTTTTATAAAAATTTTTTAATTTAAAAAATTTTAATGAAATAAGCTGTATTTTGCGGCCCCAAAACGGGAAAGACCCTTTATTCAAATTTATTTCATTCATAATTTGGTTAATTAAAAAATTAATTTTTTAAATATAATAATCTTTTTATCAAAAATCTCTAAAAAATCCAAAAATTTATTTCATTATTTTAGGAAAAAAATTTAAAAAAGACAATTCTAGATAAAGTTTATTTTTTAAATATAATATTTATCAGTTTACCCATATTCTTCCCCTATACCCCATCAGAAATGTTTTATCTAAATAAAAAATATTTACTGGGAAATTTAGGCCCCAAACCCAAATGGGGTCAAAATGGGCCAAAATTCCCCCAAAAAATAAAAAGCGAGTAAAGTAATGCGTCAGCTATTATAATGTTTTATTAATTCTTCTGTCACCAAAAATCGGGTGATTTCATCATTATTCGAACTGATCCTCATTATACTTGGAATTATAAGGTGATTAAATATCATAACTTAATTCATCAGAGTTTATACGCAAGTAAGTATATAGTTTTTAGCTCGACTATACGAAGTATATGGAGAGCTGTCCTACTCGCCCCGGCGTCGGCGTCGGCGTCGGCGTCGGCGTCCGCGTCCGCGTCCAGATTTTAGATTAAAGTTTTGGTGCAGTAAAATATTTTTCACTATAACTTTGTCATTTCTTAAGGTATCAACTTCAAACTTCAAATATATCTTCCTTATCATCAACCACATCATATGTGACAAGGTTCATAACTCTAGCACCAATATTTTTAGATTTATCTCCCCTTGAACTTAGAATTTTCCTTAAAAAATACTATTTTTTACTGTTACTTCCTTATTTCTTAAGGGATCAACCTCATACTTCAAATATATGTACCTTATCATCATCCCCATCTTATGTGACAAGGTTCATAACTCTAGCACCAATAGTTTCAGATTTATCTCCCCTTGAACTTAGAATTTTCCTCAAAAAGTACTATTTCTTACTGTTTCTTCTTTATTTCTTAAGGGATCAACCTCATACTTCAAATGTATTTACGTTATCATCATCCCCATCTTATGTGACAAGGTTCATAACTCTAGCACCAATATTTTCAGATTTATCTCCCTTTGAACTTAGAATTTTCCATAAAAAAATATTTTTTTTACTGTTATTTATTTATTTCTAAAGGGATCAACTTCATACTTCAAATATGTTTACGTTATCATCATCCACATCTTATGTGACAAGGTTCATAACTCTAGCACCAATATTACAAGAATTATCTCCCCATAAACTTAGATTTTTTTACTAGAAAAATGTTATTTTTTATTATAACTTTTTTATTTTTAAAGGTATCTACCTCAAATTTCAAATACTTATTCCTTATCAACAATTACATTTTATGTGACATTGTTCATAATTCTTGATGCAATATTAACAGATTTTTCTCTCTTTGAACTTAGGATTTTCTTTAAGAAATATAATAGCTTCTTTTCTTTTTAAGGTATCTGCTTCAAACTTCAAATATATGTTTCTTATCATTACACAAATGTTGTGTGACAAGGTCCATAACTCTAGCATGACTATTTCTAGCATTATTCCCCTTGATCTTGGAATTTATGTTAACAAATATTATTTTTTTTACTATAACTTAATACATAATTATACATAATTGATTTTCCTTTCATAGTTTTGTCCTCCTTACTGCGTCCAGTATTTCATTAGTCGAGCTTCGCTGTCTCCTGTGACAGCTCTTGTTCTTCTGGTTAACATCTGTATTTTGCCTTGATCGGCTACTCACTTGGTAAGATATGGTATTCAATATCCTATGAAGTTTCCGGTAGGATTTCTAGTACTATCTTGTTCTACGACTGTAATTAGTGTACCTTATGTAATTACTGATTTATCATCATCTTTGAAAAGAAATGTATTGTGTATTAATTGAAACATTATAATATTTTTTTATTTTTGCTTATTCATAAACAACTGTTTTGTTTATCTTTTCGCATGACGATGTATTATGCACAAGACTCAGATGAAATATATGTTTTGTTCTGTATATTAATTTGTTTGTTTGGGTGAATTTTAAGCCAGACGGACACTGTGTTTAGATCATACGGCCAATTTTCAGCTTTATTAGCGGAGGATGACCACAGGTGCAGCTCCAAACATTATTTCAGGCACGAGCGGGCACATAAGTAGGACCTTCGAGTGTGCATAAGATAGTTGGAAAGCTTCCTCACATGAATAATATCCAGTCCCTGGCGACATTAGAACCCACAGCAGTATTTGTAAGGAACTCCTAACTGACTTTTACAAACAGTAACAGTTGAAATCTTATATGAAATAATTTAGTTCTTTTATTCGTTCCTTCAACTGAAAATAATTTTTCAAAATCAAATTTCAATTTGATGTAGGTCTAAATTAATAACTTGTGTGTAAAATTTCAGACCATTAGCTCACTACGCTCTTCTATAATTAATCTAATGGGGAAAAATGACCCAAAATTGAAACGCGTTTCAACGTTTTTCGCTCAAATTGGACTAAGAATATCACAAAAATACGATTTTTAATTAATTTGAGTATATTTCTTTGCTGTCTTTTGCATATCTTTCTTTTTTAAATGCCAACGCTAAGCTTTGTAGGGAATTCAAATCTTATATTTCAAGGTTTTAGGACCCGAGTGGAATACGAGTAGAATATCTTGACATGTTTTGTGTTGAATTATAGTTGAATTATATTATGTAACATTATCATATGATATTGTCGTAAAGTGTTGACTTTTTAAAATACAAAGATATTTTTAAATTCTACTAATTTGTTAATTGACATGTTTGCTAATCACACGCAATATGAATTAAATTTTATGTTGTATAAAAAAGATACATGCATTTTATTCCTTAATAAAATTGCTGTTTTTTATCGTACATTAATTAACAAAACCCTACATTCTAACACAAACATGGCAAGAGTCGTCGCTAAGCGGGAAGCACGTTCGATTCCTTGGAGGAAGAGTATTGCAGCAAAGAATGCTGCAAGAAAGTAATAATCCTGTACAAAATATAATTAAAATTTCAGATTTGATATTGACAGTCAAGGTTATTTACACTTAAGTAATCAGATATACCGAAGCATGGCTTTAAATATATGTACATGTACAAGAATTTCAATATTTTATTTTCACAATATCTCTGAGTAGTTGCTATAAGGCAAAATCCGTTTGTGTTTTCTTAAACAAATTGACGAATAATTTAAAATTCATATTTTCATGATTTACCAAAATACAGAGCGTAATCCAATTTTATTGCAGTTTTTTAACATGAAAACCCAATTCTTTCTGCCATTATAATATTGCGCCATTGATGCGCATAAACCGATTTTAATCAGATATTATCCGTATTGATAATCTTAACCCACAATTTAATAATATGATTGTACAAAACGAAATACGTATAAAGGATAACGACCTTATTCTGCATATACAGCTGCGTTAACTGTCGATTGTTTTACACCAAGGATTGTTTTGTGAAACTACTGTACATGAATGCGTTTTAATTCACTAGACTTAGTAAACCCCCATATAGGACAACCATAATTCAATATTGATCCTACAAATGCATCAAAAAGTTGCAATGAAATATCATTACGAATGTTATATCTTTTGATATTATTTAACAATGCGTACATTGCCCTGTTTAATATTTAACCTTCAAAGCGAAAGTACCAGTGTAATTCCTAAATAATTGAAGTTATCAATAATTTCCAACCTTCATCATTATAAATGAAATATTCATTTTTTGATGGCCCTTGTTTCCTAAAACAACAAATTTGGTTTTTGCAGTGTTAACCTCTAACCCCCATTTGTCACAATATTCACACAAAGAATTCGGTGTCGATTGCAAATCTACATAAGCGCCACATGTTACCATATCAGCCACAAATAACAGAATTACAAGACAAACTTAATTTATGGTTAGACCAGTTGTATTATCTTGCTGCAAAAACTATTCGATGTCTTCAATAAATCGGCGAATTTGTCTGACCCTGACGTAAGCCCACCGCGATTTCAATTTTTGTTTTAGAAAATTCATTCTAAATTTTATACTCGACTTTACAATATTGTACATGTTTCTAAGCATTGTTAAACTTATACCATTTATTCCTTTTTTTGTACAGTTTAAACCATAACGCGTCACGGTTCACTGAATCAAATGTTTTTTTTTCAGATCAACGAAAGCACAATACAGACGTTTTTTGCCGTAAAAGTTTTGTTCTATCAAATTATGCAGCACAAAAATTGCATCTAAGGTGCTATGATTTTTTCTTAAACCGAATTGCGCATCTGATAATATTTTGACTCACACACCTCTTAACGACTCGCACATCTAAACTACCCGTAAACAATATACCGAGATTACTCAATGACGTTTAACCACGATAATTATTGGCGTTATCCACACCATCTTTTTATGTAGAGGTATAATGGACCCTTCGGTCCATTTCTCTGGAAAGACAGACACCTGAATGAAAAACAATAAGTCATTTAGATGCCCATCTAAACTGTCAACTGCATTTGAAAATTATTCATTTTAATTTAGTAAATTTTCAGCTGGAAATGACGCTTTGTCACGCTTTAAAACCCTTATTTCTTCGCGTACTTCTGTAATAGATATTCGCTCATACATCATCATCAGAACATACATTAATTTCGTCTATGGAAAGTAGATTTTCAACTTTATCGACGCATTGTTCCTGAATATCTTCAAACATTGACGAAAAATACTGTTTGAAATCATCAGTAGATAAATCAGTCTTGTTATTATCATGCCATCTTAATTATCACCAAAAGACACGGGATGCTTTAATATAATTAGTGATAATGAAGTGAAATACTAACTGTCAGAAATGGACCTAAAAGAAACTCGAGAAAGAAGTCCCTTAAAATAAATATGAGTTTTGACTCTTCCGACTTTCATATTTATATTTCATATTTATTTGTAACGAATATGATTATATATTTGACTGATATAGCACCATGTTTCATTGGTAAAAATAAATTAATGATAATAATCCGTGATAAATTTCGTCGGTGCTTTTTGGCTGTTTATTTTTTTATTAGTGACTAACTAATAAGTTATTAAAATACCTTTGTTACATTGCCCATCAGTATGGTCCCGCCTTATTAATATTAATTGTTAGTTTAATTTTAAACAATTCACGCTGATTACATTGAATAGATAGCGTCACCTTATTGCAGTAACGGGTTAACTACTATTTTAGTAGTGCTATTTAAGTATCAGTAACTGCACCAACGTGACGATATGCTGATAACATAATTGTTAAAACTGATTAAAACCCCCTTCATATAACATATGACATCATTATGATATATACATATAATACTAACGAGATAAGGTCAAATTGAATTTATTAAGTTTTAAATTTATAAGTTGTGGACACTATTTCAACATTATATCACACTCGAAATAAATATAATTCTTATTATGCTGTGTGGAAGTAAACCACAATATTTTGTAAAGTATGGAAGGGAACTAAATAAACCATGAAAATCCACGTTCATTTCTTGGTTATCATTTGTTTGGGTTATTCTAGTAGTTTGGTTGAAGAATCTTCGGACACATGTGAAATATCATTTACGGAGGAACCGACGGGGGATTTATTTAATGAAATGGAAACACTGCATTGGATAAAACTCGAGAAGGTAGGTATACTCCAAATATAATAATTATATAGAGGAGATTTAAGTTTTTCTACTTATAGATACAGGATTTATTTTCATCAAATCGTATGAAAATAAATATTTCATAACTGGCGGTAGCCACAGGTGACATATAATAATTTTCATATCACAAGATGAAAAATAAATCCTGTTTTTATAGAAAAAAATCTGAATTTTCTGTTTATTATATACATATTTCTCTTTTTTTACATTATTATTTGAAATACTACCACTTAAATTTTGTGTTTGTAGCAAGGGATTTGTTAATTACTTCTGATCATTTAAATTTGAATTTCAATCTACAATTTAAAGACTTCTAAAGTTATCTGCAATGAAAACTTATAAGTCACTAGTATATAGAATTCTTATTTTTTGTCATTATGTTTTTAATACAAATATCTGTTGTGTTTTATTTTGTTTTGTATTCAGATTACTTCAAGGGATTTCACATTCAAATATTCTGGTTATGATATGAGTATAGAAGAAGCAATTGCCTTGGTAAAAGACAAGTTTAAAAATCAGGTATATGTAACCAACTTGCATATAGTTATAATTCAATTCTATTAAATTCTTTGTCCTCACTTTCTTTTTTATCCTCATTAGTACCAATAAGGTCTGGTAACACATTGAAATAAATGAAACTTGAACTTCGTATTAAGTATTGCCTTAAAACAATTCTGGTCTTAATATATTATTTTTGTAGATGTGAAAACTATAAGGTTATTATACATTCTTGAGTTCACTACTGAACTCTTTGTGACGAGTACACAGTTGTTAACCCTAAATGGGTCGTGGCACTAGCTGAGTCTGATATAGGTTTTGCAACTGTGTACGATGTATAATGACCTTTTATTTCACAACACCATTGCTTGACATTTTGCCACGGGTTTGTAACGTTTAGTACACGAAGTAGTTTTATTGATTTTTTGGACCCCGAAAATGAAAACAAGACCAGATGGACTGTGATATGCATTTGATATAGGCCTTTTTGGGCTTTGGAATTTTAAACAAGGCTAAAATGTTTCTAATTGGAGCATTACATGGTACAAAACACTGAATGTTCATTGGTTGCATTTTATAAGGTGTGAAATAGTAACCATGTGTGAAATGAGTTTATTCCTAAAGTGAGATGTTCTATTTTTCTTACTGATTAGATACAGAGTTTTGATCGAGTTAAAGAGTATTCAGTGCTTAAAAAAGTATTGTTCAAGAATCCTGGAGGGATTAATACAGAGGTATAGTACCAATGGTTGATTTTTTATTTTATGAAATACCAGTTGCTTAGTTTGTTGAAACTTGTCTAACAAACATTAATAATTTTCTTAAATTTGTTATATATGGTCAGCGAAAATCTTATATATAAATCGTTGATACTATTTCTAAATAACGATGATTTATTTTATTATCAGGATAACATAATGTCTTGATTACTATGATTTTGATGGTAGCGATGATTGCTTGATTATAATAATGATGACAATGAAATATGGCAACCACTTTAGATAATAAATACTATTGAAGGACATGACTGGTGACTGTCCGGGGTCCTAAATCTCACTGCCTGGATGAACCCTCTTTAAGCATAGACTTCCTGACCAATGGCTGTGTTGAATAATCTGAAGCTACAATGTATTTATCAGTATTTAACAGTATTCTTTTCAAATTATGTTGTCTTTTGATAAGGAAATACATGACAGTTACTATGGAATGGGTGTGGAAAAAGCATGGCGGCGTGGCTTTAGCGGTCTCAACGTAATTATTGCCATTACTGATGTTGGTGTTAATATAAATATCACTGACCTCAAGAAAAACATAGTAAGTACATTTATATGTATAAAGCAATAACCAAATTATTTAATATAATATTGAATAAAATTGATAGAAATTATATTGACAATTATTTCAAAATTTCCGAAAATGTTTTATTTTAAATTTTTCATTATGAGTTCTAAAGGATTCTATTTCTTTTGAGTAATTATTGTATTGAAATTCTTGAAAGACGACAAATTGCATACTTATCTATTTATGTACACAATGAATTTAGCTTATTTTGAACGTAAATAACACAAATGCATATTGTTAAAAAGTAAGTACTTTGTTTGTACAAAGAAATACTTGTCAGCTATTTTTTAATGCTTATCATGAAATTGCATTATCTAGACTAAGATATCCGGGTTGAAAACTGCTCATGTGAGGTAGATGAGAAACATACCGACAAAGGACTTAGAATTAAACAAAATGTAAAATAAACAATGTTGAAAACGATTGCCATTTTTTGTTTGTTTTCCTTCCTTTACAGAGAAACAAAAACCCATTAACATGTATAGCCATTTCAAAAAGTGTCAAAATAGTTCTTTATAAACTTTGCAGCTTTTTTACGTAATTATTTAGTTACTGCTTAAAGAAATATATCTTCATATATTGTCTATCAATCGAGCTTTAATAATGCGATTCATTGTTACTTATATTGACAATCTGGTTAATTAAAATTGACTACAAATAACGTCAAATAATCTTTACCCGTTATACAATCAGAGGCACTTATAATCCGACACTTACATTTTTCTCTATAAAAAGCTTATTTGTGGACGGATTTTGTTCAAATTTGGACCATGCACAATTTATTATATCAAACTAACTACTAAGAATTATATTTACAATTCATCTACAAAAAAAATAGAAAAAATAAAGCAAATATGCTACTGCAAAATGAAAAATCACAGAATGGCTATAACTATCGTGACAACAGTAACAGTCTCTGAATCCCACTAAATCTGTATGTTAACAAGTTCTAATACTTTGTATGTCCTCCCATTTGGCTGTAACCACGTAAACACCTCTGTCTTTTAGTTCTCCATTCTTGAACAAGGGCTTGCTCGAGTTTCAGCAAATTGCGAGGGGCTTCTGGTCGCTTGCTCCCACGTCTGTTCAATTCAGCCCACAAGTGTGATGTTTAGATCTGGTGACTTTGGAGGCAGGAGCTTCTGGAACTCGAGCAAGCCCAGTTATTCAGGACTGGAGAAATACTCCTCAAGCTTTTATGAGAACTACGTCATTTCTACGAGACAGGTATTTACACGGGAGGACACAAAAAGTATTAGAACCAATTCACATACAGATATAGTGGGATTCAGAGACTTTTTATTTTGGTACGATGTTTACAGCCATTTTGTGATTTTTCATTTTGCAGTAGCATAGTTATTTTGTTATTTTCTCTACTTTCTTGCCAATGAATTGTAAATAAAATTCTAAGTTGTAGTATGATATGCTGACTTTTGTATGGTCCAAAGATGAACACAATCCGTTCACAAATAACCAATTCCTCTCAGAAAACGTAAGTGCCTCTGAGTGTATGCTATTGTTTCTTTGTAAAATATTATTTTCTAACCATTACACAGCTGCTATAGGCGATACATATTGCCAAAAAAAAATGCTCAATTAAAATTGTATTGCAATAATCTAACTATATGAAAGAAGTTGATGTTCACTGTTTTTTTTTGCTATTGATTTAGAACGAGGACCTTTCATACAACTATATCAAAGGAGAAACCGACGTGACACCAGAGTATTTTCATGATTACGCCGATTTACCATATCCAGAGTGAGTTTTGTAATACTTAATATATAATACGTAATTAATTATAACTTGACATATTTTGTTTTCAGCGTAATGAAAACAGTTCGTGTTTCTTAATACAACATACGTTGATACGAATATCAATCCATAGTTTTTTTATATTTTGTTGGTAGCATGAGGTCTTCAATCACCAGTAAAGTTGTAATATCGCCATATGACCTTTACAGTATTGGTGCGGTATACCCCTCCCGTCCCACAAAAAAGAAAAACAAAGAAGATTTTGTAAAATATGACTGTAACTTGTATCTCAAATTTTCCACCAACATCCATATATAATTCCTTTGTGTTTTGCTGTTATGTTCCCTAAATACTATAAACCTAACTATTTATTGTATAACAGACCTTCCTTTATATATGTGAAGCCACCCAAAATGTTGCAGGACACGTTGTCATACATTCTTATTTGTTTTATTTAATTATTATTTATGATTTTTAATGTCATTGTAGTCACGGTAACCGATGTGCAAGTCTTATTGCTGCAGAGAAAGGAAATGGAATTTGTAGCACTGGCATTGCTTATAATGCCACAATAGCTGGTAATTTTATTGATTTAATAGCTTCCAAAAATAAACAACAACAAAAATCATAGAAACAGAAAAAAATGACTTATACTCATTCCTTTATCAGAGATTCGAAGGCTTATTTTTGGTCTCATAATGTACGTCATAGTAAATTGATATGTTTTTATCTTCCTCCTATATTGATGACACATTTATTTAGCAGAAAGTCTTAAAGATTTATAAAAGCAATGTCTGATTACTGTTACACTTAGGGATACTCAGGCAAATTAATGACAAAATATTAAAATGATTCTATGTACTCCAAACACGGTAAAACGACATTTTAAAAAGCCCGAGCATGTGTTTCTGTATAAATTCTGTAAATTTTGCATTTGAAGAGTAAATATATCTGTACATGTTGAACAATATATAGACGCCGACAGAATCACCAAGTTTTTTTAAAAACAAGTATGTAACATGAACAAACCCTGGAAGCTACAATGACAGACATTGTGGATTTTGTATGATTGAAACAAGTCTGACATGTTTCTTTTACGTTTCTAGAGTGCACTGTGACAACTATTGTGAAATTTTAACGCTCTAACCTGAAAGTTATGAAAGCGCCATTTTATTCTCTATAAGTTTTGTTCCTGTGGCATTTTAGTATATTCATTTTTGAGGACATTTACAGAATAATGAATGAAAAATTCAAAACGAAGACATTAATAAAAAATAATAAGATTTTGCCTGTGTCTCGTGTCTTAAATTAATACTGCCAAAACATAAATTATTTTATTTTGTAAACGTAAAAAACCGGTTGAAAAATATTAGTCCTTTACAATTTGAGAGTAAAGTTCTTGAGACCGTTGATTGTTTTGACTATCCTGGTGTTCAGTTTTCATTAAATTGTTAGGTTTTATGCATAACAAAAAGAAATGATCAAGCACAAAAAGCTATATATGTGCTCTGCATTAACAAAAACTCGTAAACTCGCCTTACCTTACCAATTGGTCCACAATACGATTGTTAATCAGAGGTCTGGGGAGTAGAAAATGTAGAGATGATTGATTGTTTCCAATTAAATGAAAATATATCAAGTTAGTTCTGGAAATAAAGTATCTACCCCATCATGTATGATTATGGTAAGCTAGGGATATTGCCTTTGTCATTGAACGCAGTTAGGTGATAAATTTTATGTGTTATAATTGCCCTTTTTTATGAGAAAGACATATTTGGACAATTCTTTCTTAATAATTCATAATTATCTCATTCTCCTATTCAAATATTGCAATAGTATTAATTTTATTGTTTTTTTTTTACTTTACTTTATGTCGCTTTACTTTTTAAAAAAAAATGTTTTGTTATATTGTAACACTTGTTTTTAATTTACTTTACGTCATTTTACTGTGTTTTTAATGTTGTGTTATAATTTTGCTTTCTCACATGCTCAGTTTTGCCTTGGTGTATCAATAAAAACTTGAAAACTTGAAAAAAATCAAGAACATTGCTAAAATGATAAAAAAATCTTTGAAGCGGTTAAAGTAATAAGCTAGAAAGAAAATATTTTATGCAGTTATTCACAATTTCACATTGCTAAGTATAATGTAACTGTTCACGATACTCCTATTCTGTAATTGCGTTTTCACTTTTATTTTCTATAAATATTTCACGTAAATCGGTAATGTAATTTGTAAATCTAAATCTAATCAGAATATTGTATCATAATTTTAAGTATTTTACTATGTAAGTAAAGTAAAGAAGGAACCCAACATTACCACATTGTAAGTAGGTAGTTTTCTGATTACAGCTTTTCTGATTTCTTATCTAGTTGTGAAGATATTTGAAATTCTCCAGACGGACAAGTCTGGTTCGTTTAAAACCAGGTCGAATTCTACAGTGATGGCAAAATCATTATTGCATAAGATTGGTATCGTTGACATTTATTCGAACTCTTGGGCATTCGAAACACTCTTTGCTCGTATGACTGGCTTACTGCGATCAGCTTTGAAAAAATGTGCAAAAGAGGTAATTCAAAATTTAGATATTATTAGAAAGAACAAGCATGGGTATTTTTAAAACACCTTCCTTAAACATACTCGTATTATTGACTTTATGCATAATATCGTTGTAATTTGCAAGACATATCTTTGAAGACTGACACATAATGTGCTTACTTTTCCTTAAAGGTTTTAATAGTGTAACAATGTTGTAAAAAGAAAAAGTTACTTTCATGATTTACTTATTTTTTTTTGCATATCAATATAATTTCAAGGGTCGACATGGCCTTGGTGCCATACTTGTTTTCCCTGCTGGACCAGAAATAAATGAACTGATGAACAGTGAATATACAATAACAGTTGGTGCAGTAGGTAAAAATAGAACAATTCCAACTGATCATGTTATAACATCAGCTGTTCTAACATCGGGACTCCACGACGGAAATAATCTTACAGCTCAAAATATGGTAAATTTATATCCAAATATTACTTTCTAGTAATGGGATAAAATCGTCTTTTTGATTTAAAGTTATCAAAACACAAAGTTATGCAAGTTCTTAAGACATAAAAAGTATTAAAAATGTTTAACTAAGAAAATAAGTGTGCAAACGCTTATATAATTAAATGAATAAATCATTACTTTTGTTGCCTTAAACATGCATATGTTCAAAATATAGATGTCATTAAGTCACAAAATTTGACGATTTCCTGCTATTGAAAGGAACACTATCATTCAAATTTAATGGGTTTGTAGATTTCATTAATCAATAGTAACTTTGCAAATTTAAAGGTAACCGCAACCATCAATGATAGGTGCAGTACACAATTCGCAGGGGTATCTGCAGCAACAGCACAAGTAGCAGGCATGATTGCTCTAGCGCTTCAGGCAAAGTACAACCATTTTATATAAATTTAAGAAAAGAGAACGCTTATTGCAATAAATATGTCAGTCTGCTGATCTCAATAGTGAGAGAGCATCGGCTTTGTAATTAGTATGTCGCCGGTTCGACCCACAGCCGGGGCGAACACTCGTGAAAATTGATCGTCAACACCGCTTATTCAGATATCCCGTGGGATTAGTACATGTATTTGTTCACAAGCGCAAAAATTAAAATTGGTAAATACTGGTTAAGTTATCCAGGAAAACCGATAAGTTAGACCTTCTGCCTAGATACGACAAAAATGTGTTAAACATGTTGCAATGAATATAAATTTAGATTCAAATGCAGAGCTAGTTTTGCGTTAATTAAACATGAAATGACTAACAAATTAACTTTTTAAATTGATTTAAAATATAATAATGATTATAAGGAGAATAATAACTCGGCATTTTTTTTAAATTTCCCTGATCCAGAATGTAACATTATTTAGTATTTACAATTATATCAATACATGTACATTATATAAAACACTAAAAAGTTTTTATAAAAGACGATATTGATATTTTCTTTGATATATTCTTTTCTATCTGTTTAAGCCCAAATTTGACTCGCGAAGACGTGGAGGATTTACTAGTATATTCATCTGATTATGTTATTCCAAATGATGATAAAAGCAATGGTATAGAAAATGCGGCAGGACTAAAATGTAAGACAGTCGTACACGTTTCTTAAAATTAAATACATACATACTATCAGTAAATACCATCACTTTTGATGATTGGAACATGAAGCAGGATATTTGAAATAAAATGTACTAATAAAATTCAATACTCATTATACATTTCTAAAATGTACGAAGGGTACAAAATATAATAGAATACCCAGGAGCAGTTTTCAAAATTAATTTATAGCTTTTTTTCAAAATGTTCCTTATCATTACCTTTATCATAATTACGATCTTCTTGTTTGAATTATTTGCTCATTTGTGTGAAGTTAAAGATTTGTTTATACTCTTTTTCTATAAAACACATAGCTGTAAAAATAAGAATAACAAAAAACAAAAAGAACTTAAGAAATATGTTTTGTAATGATCATAATACTTATATCTCTTAATTAACAATTTTTCAGTTCATCCCGTATTTGGCCCAGGTATTTTGAATGCATCAAGACTTGTAACAAATGCAATAGATAGGACATTTCATGTAGAAATTGTGAAACACACTTTAAAAGCATCAAACCTAGGGTAAGTTATTATTGCAAACCGGTATGTCGGGATAATAATTCGGATTCTTTATGTTACAAAATAAATGTCAATAATAATATTTCTATTGGTTAACATTCTCTAGAAGATTCCAAAGTATGGATTATGGACTGCAGTGAAGGCAAAGCTGGTTCTTCTGTAAAGATAGTTTAGCCATGGTCTTACCTATCTGAAAGAATTTGCCACCAATTTAAGGCCTGTCAACACATCCGTATAGTCTACCCACACTCTGTAATATAGGCCCACATTTGCCAGAAATTCCCTAGTAGAAGGTAACTGTTTATCTAAATTACTGCTCTGCAGGATATCTTATTATAACCCTGGCGTGAACTATAAACTGTCCATGGTGCATTATCGATACAACTCTTATCAGAAACAATATGGCCATTTACCAGTGGTCAGTGTGGATTGATTTCACCTCAACATTAGATAAGGTCTAAGGAATGAAAATAATGTTGATTCTGTGAAATATGTTTTATATAGATTTAACAACTGATTACAAATATAATAACAAAGCCATTAATTGTCATAGTGTTACATTAAGTTTTATAGTTTTAAAATACATGCATAATTTAATACAGAAAGTTGTAGGTATTTTACAGTTTAGAATAAGTAAACAAAGATGCAGTTAAGGAAACTGATATATAACAAATCAATAAATCAGTAGTACTGCATGCCGCATTCAAAACAAATGTAGTAAAACAGCTCATGTGACAATATCAATGACACTTTTTCCAAATACACATTATGACGCCTTTTTAAGCTGTAAAAAACCCTTGTGCACAAATCATGAAAATCAGTTTCCAGACCACTTGTTTGAACAAAAACAGCCCAGACACAAGCTGTTGTTCAATATCTCTAAGTATCTTCTTACAGGAATTGGTTGTATTATGTTGGCATAGATATTTAAAAAATGTCAATACTGTGGCACATTCTTCGCCTAGAATTGTTCTTGAACCACCCTGAAAAGATTTGAGAGCGCGTTTTAAATTACTTTTCTGAATATTGGTCTCCACTTCTGCTAAGGACACTATAAACATCCTCAATGAATATAAAATTCTTATTGGTATTCTGATCTTTGTTGATCTTGAAGGTTTGAGAAAATTTCATGATAACCCATTGATGAGAACCTGTAAAGAAACCTTTAAGTTTGAGTAAAACTTAAAAGCGACTATTTTCAATAACTTATATTTTGTTATAACCTATGGTTGTTAAGAAGTAGTGCCTACGGATGCCGTTAACAACAGACACATTGTTGTGACATTGGACTGAATTGACTGTGTATACATATTTCATTAATAATATTCTATGGTAAATGTAATAAATGTAGATGGTCTATTAACAAATCTCCTACTCTGAACAAGTTCTAATAAAATTAGATAGAAACGGTGACCTATAGATAGTTTGAAAGGTTCTACAATAATTTGATTCAGTAAAATAGGTTGTTGTACAAGGCTAAATTTCAATAGTTTCTTATCACATAATTGTAAACGTTAAACAAATGATTTTTTATATATGTACTTTTTTCTTGATTGTAAAACTGACTGCCAATTCAATGGAAATAAATTTCAAACTAATTTCTGACAAAAAAAAAACACAAATAGAAAAATTTGTCCTGAGTGGTATTTACAAAGTTATTAAAAGTTCATATTATTACAGGAAGCCCCAGTGCCTGTTACATAAGTTAGCCTTAAATCTATTCATTAACGTAAATATAATGAGCACTCAAAACTGCTTAAATACAAATGCAGAACTTTACTTTCAATGTATGTTTTATCTTAAATGACCGAATTATTTCTCCGATCTAGACATGTATAAACTAATGCTTGTTACTGAGTATACATTTTAATTCGAACAGTAAATAAATATCTTACCTTTTCATATTTGCCTTCCACTGTGTTTTAAAATGAAAACAATTATCATATAAAAAGAAAACAGACTTAAACCTGCTATTCAACACAATAATATGAACAAGAGGCCAGCAATTTATTTGTATTAGTTTATGTAAACAGAAGTACCATCATTAGTTTCTGGTTTGGGCTTATCAGATGGAAATGGGATATTAATTGCCCCCCATGCTGTGAATCAGCCACACTGACCACTTAATGTCTTCATGGTAATTCTGTAAATAACAGTACTGTCCAGATCAGTAGTGATCAGATTTTTGGGTCTATGGTCTCGTCTGCCCAGTCCCAATTTTGTTGGTAGCTCAATATTTGTATTTTCATAGTAACATCCCTTAAGCTTCAAACGACAAATCCATCACACAGATTCAGCAAGAACAGTAGCATTCAATAGCATATGGACAATAACATTGAAATAACATTTATAGCATTTTCTTCATTAATGTGTCAATGTCTAAATTGTATAATAATATTATTTTGATAGCACTGACACTCGTACAGCTGTCTTTTGTCACGAGTGCGGAACTAATATAACCGAAAATTCCACTTGCGTTGCTGTCATCAAAAAAGCTAAAATTGAAGTTGTCTACACAGACGAGACCATAGACCCAAAAATCTGATCACTACTGATCTGGACAGTACTGTTATTTACAGAATTACCATGAAGACATTAAGTGGTCAGTGTGGCTGATTCACAGCATGGGGGGCAATTAATATCCCATTTCCATCTGATAAGCCCAAACCAGAAACTAATGATGGTACTTCTGTTTACATAAACTAATACAAATAAATTGCTGGCCTCTTGTTCATATTATTGTGTTGAATAGCAGGTTTAAGTCTGTTTTCTTTTTATATGATAATTGTTTTCATTTTAAAACACAGTGGAAGGCAAATATGAAAAGGTAAGATATTTATTTACTGTTCGAATTAAAATGTATACTCAGTAACAAGCATTAGTTTATACATGTCTAGATCGGAGAAATAATTCGGTCATTTAAGAGAAAACATACATTGAAAGTAAAGTGCTGCATTTGTATTTAAGCAGTTTTGAGTGCTCATTATATTTACGTTAATGAATAGATTTAAGGCTAACTTATGTAACAGGCACTGGGTCTTCCTGTAATAATATGAACTTTTAATAACTTTGTAAATACCACTCAGGACAAATTTTTCTATTTGTGTTTTTTTTTGTCAGAAATTAGTTTGAAATTTATTTCCATTGAATTGGCAGTCAGTTTTACAATCAAGAAAAAAGTAACATATATAAAAATCATTTGTTTAACGTTTACAATTATGTGATAAGAAACTATTGAAATTTAGCCTTGTACAACAACCTATTTTACTGAATCAAATTATTGTAGAACCTTTCAAACTATCTATAGGTCACCGTTTCTATCTAATTTTATTAGAACTTGTTCAGAGTAGGAGATTTGTTAATAGACCATCTACATTTATTACATTTACCATAGAATATTATTAATGAAATATGTATACACAGTCAATTCAGTCCAATGTCACAACAATGTGTCTGTTGTTAACGGCATCCGTAGGCACTACTTCTTAACAACCATAGGTTATAACAAAATATAAGTTATTGAAAATAGTCGCTTTTAAGTTTTACTCAAACTTAAAGGTTTCTTTTACAGGTTCTCATCAATGGGTTATCATGAAATTTTCTCAAACCTTCAAGATCAACAAAGATCAGAATACCAATAAGAATTTTATATTCATTGAGGATGTTTATAGTGTCCTTAGCAGAAGTGGAGACAATATTCAGAAAAGTAATTTAAAACGCGCTCTCAAATCTTTTCAGGGTGGTTCAAGAACAATTCTAGGCGAAGAATGTGCCACAGTATTGACATTTTTTAAATATCTATGCCAACATAATACAACCAATTCCTGTAAGAAGATACTTAGAGATATTGAACAACAGCTTGTGTCTGGGCTGTTTTTGTTCAAACAAGTGGTCTGGAAACTGATTTTCATGATTTGTGCACAAGGGTTTTTTACAGCTTAAAAAGGCGTCATAATGTGTATTTGGAAAAAGTGTCATTGATATTGTCACATGAGCTGTTTTACTACATTTGTTTTGAATGCGGCATGCAGTACTACTGATTTATTGATTTGTTATATCAGTTTCCTTAACTGCATCTTTGTTTACTTATTCTAAACTGTAAAATACCTACAACTTTCTGTATTAAATTATGCATGTATTTTAAAACTATAAAACTTAATGTAACACTATGACAATTAATGGCTTTGTTATTATATTTGTAATCAGTTGTTAAATCTATATAAAACATATTTCACAGAATCAACATTATTTTCATTCCTTAGACCTTATCTAATGTTGAGGTGAAATCAATCCACACTGACCACTGGTAAATGGCCATATTGTTTCTGATAAGAGTTGTATCGATAATGCACCATGGACAGTTTATAGTTCACGCCAGGGTTATAATAAGATATCCTGCAGAGCAGTAATTTAGATAAACAGTTACCTTCTACTAGGGAATTTCTGGCAAATGTGGGCCTATATTACAGAGTGTACATATCAAGTGCCGATCGTCTTACCATGACATTAAAATCACCAAGTGGTACAACCTCAGTTTTACAGGACTTGTCTACAGAGAAGATTAATACAAAAGGGGAAAAAAGGAGACAAATTCTAACTTCAGTTCATTTTTGGGACGAAGTGGGTCATGGTTTGTGGGTTTTCAAGTTGCAATCAAATGGTAAGATTTTTTTCTTCTTTGAGTGATAGTTTAGTTTCGTTTTAAATTATCCATGAAAACATTATATCAATCACAGTTACCTATGATTAAATTTGCATGTATAAATGAATTTTATCTGTAAAACACAAATAAGACCCTAATTTATCTCGTCATATGTTTTATGTTTTTTACAAAGTATTTAATAATGCGGATTTATCAAAAGTTCAAAATCGTTCACACGGAAGTCAACGAACTTACAACATTCATGTCCGATTACACTGCAAAAAGGTATTTTATTTGCAAAAGCTTGACATCTAAAAAACTTTTAAAACCTATATTGTAATTAAAAACATTTCAAGTAACTTTATTACTTTAAAAACAATAACACTAACACTCACACATAATATACTTCATAATCATTTATGTTTTTCAACACTGACTGTGGTGTTCTACATTATTTATTCTATATAAATATACCACAATTAAAGTTAACATAAATGTAATCAAGTTTCAGACTAGTCTAGGGCAACGTTAATTAATGTATATCTTTAAAACAAGCGGTTAACGAAACACTATCATATAGATTAAACAAACATTGTGTCACAAACGAAAATGTTGCAATGATGTAAATGTATAATTTATTTATAATTTGTTGTTTGTTCTCGTATTTGCAATCCTTACTAATAGTTTGATATCTATCCTATTTGTTAGCATATGAACATGTTTATTGTTTAATCGAATAAGTTATACTGAATTATGCTACTTAATAATTTTTGTTTTTTTATGATTATTACTTTCAACCACTTGACTGTAAAATATTCTTATATATATATAAATATAAATATATAAATCCAATATATATATATAAATCCAATATATATATATATATATATATATATATATATATATATATATATATATATATATATATATATATATATATATATATAAATCCAATATATATATATATAGATTATACGTTCTTTAATCGCGTTGGCCTGGATTTATTTGGATATTCTTCATGGATTGTTGTTTTTCTATGAGTATTTCAAACGTTGATAATAAAAGTTTAAATGCATCATTTGAATATTCTTATTATTTTTTTTAAAATAGCTTCGTATAGCCAAGTTTTAGTTCAGAAAAATATCCTTCACTGGAAAAATGCATAGGTAAATTTTAGTTAAAATTTGCCATACAGGTGTCTTTTAAGGCATATAACTGATCTATGTTGTCATTTTACAGTGCTTTACAGTGCCCATTAGGATGTCATACCATAAGTCGGCAAAACGTTTACTGGACCCACGCAGATTAAAAGTTCAATTAAGTATTTATATGTCATAAACGAAAAATAATGCATTATTGCAATCAAGATGTCAACCAAACCTTTGGAGGGTTAAACATTGTATAATCCCAGCACGATAAACAGAACTTTCGTCATGTTTATTAATAGTATGGAACAGTCTATTTTGTAGCTAAAAAGGTAAATGAAAGGTTGATAATAGTTATAGATAGTTGTAGTTGCCGTAATAGCGCAATCGGTAGAGCACTACAATCACAAAATGTTTTATATTCTCGTTCTCTGCTTTGACTTGTATTAAGCTGCGTTATTTTGACTTTGTGTTATTTCAGTTATATATTCATATCTGTCAAACTGATATTTATGTGTTTTACAGTGAATCTGGAATAAAAAAAGACAAAAAGTTCAACGAGGTTTCGAACTCACAAGTAATTTCTTTCGCAGAGGTGGCTCAACCTACTACGCTATAGAGTCAGCTGAAGTTATATTGTCTTCAATTACTATCTCTATATCTTTAATGGAAATACTTTGGTTAATCACCCATGGTTATCTTTTCATGGACTGTGCTTCTATTTTTAGACATGAAGAAAGTTCTGTTTATCGTGCTCGGACTATAAAATTGAATTATAATATAAACATTGCTACTTTATTTCTTTTAAGTTCTGCAGTTTAAATCCCTAATCCATTGATAGCTACACGCTTTATTTTGCTCAAGGCCAAATTCTAGTTATACAAATTATTTGTTAATCCTTGAATTTCTCTATTTTTAGGACAAAATGATGCAATCGTCAATATATCTTTGACGCTAATTGGAACAGCACAACAAGAAACAAATTCTTCCATTCCTAATTCAAAGACAAAAAAATGTGGAGACAATTTTAACAACGCAACAACAGAAAATCCTAACATAAGATACTCAAATAAGAATACGTATTATACAGTCATCATATTTAGCGTTGTTCCTGCCATTATCTTGATTTCAGTCATCCTGGCAATGATATACAGAAAACGAATACATAAATGCTTGCGTTCTAAGCGCGGAAAAGGCAAACACAAAGACGATGGTGAATCATCAATTGCTTTAACCAAACTCCGCAATATCTCTAGTTATCATAAATATGAATATACTTTGACAGATGCTTCCAACACTATTTGTTGACACTAACATGCAAAGAAGCATTTAACATTGCACTTATCATCAAAATGCTTTGTTGAATTATTTTATTAGGAATTTGTGCTTTTTTGTGTTAATTTAACGCATTCAGGTTTGTCTTCTTTGTTCGTATTGTAAAACATTTATTAGCATTTCCAAAAATGCTAGGAATCGACGTTCAGCCGGGTATTTGACTTTTTTTTCGTAAAAAAGACCCTTCCTGGTCAAAAGAGCCAATGTTTCTTCTTTTAAGAGAAACATATCATATGTTGTTAACCACAAAAGAGCCTACACACGGATTTCGAGTTTCGTACATAAAGACAATTGTTAAATTCTATATACATGTATAGGGATCCCGACAAAAAAAAGCGAATGGCGTACCCCGTAGATGCCCCTTTTTGAGGTCTTTTGTATTTAATTTTATGTTATCATGTGGTATTAAATTATCCATTTTGATTGGCTGAGGGCAGGTGGTGTACGTGTATAAATAGTCAAATCTTGTTAATTATATATGTCGCCGGCACTAACAATTTAAAGGCGGAACAATATATTTGACTTCTGTTATGATTCATTTTACAAAGGCTGGAATTATGATTTGCAGTTTTATATCATTCTTTCTGTTTTTCGTAATATTGCATAACTCCTAAATTAATGCGTTATCAATGCATATTGATTATCAAAAAATACATTTTAAAACATTACAGATTATATCAGCATAACTAGAAGCTCTTGAAAAAACATAAACTGATAAAATAGGCAAAGTGTTTTTAATTTTTTTGTCTAATTGACCCAAACACAAAAATAGTGATTACATTAATAGTAAATCTATGAGAGGTTTTCGGAGAATAATGGATTTACAACTTATGCACGTTTTTTCATGAAATAAAAGCATCAGTAAATACAGGCTTAGCTTATCATTTTGCGTAAAATTATGTGGCGCCATCTTGAGAAATTTTGCTTATTGTATTGTGTGCACTGCATTATCATATTTTTGTACTTATGATTGATACTATTAGTGAAAATCAAGCCGATGCAAGATAAGTGAAATATATTGGGGACATTACAAACATTTTAAACTGCACAAAAGTCAAAACTGTTCTTTAGAAATCTGGAAACAAAGTGATCCCTCGGAAGCATTAATCACAACATAATTACATGAAAATTGCAGACCCCTGTTCATGAGAGATTATGAATAAGTGCAACATCCCTCATGCCCCCTAGCACCGGCTTACGCTGTATTCAATTCTCAACACTTAATAGTGCTGGTATCGATGATCACGAAGGACCAGAAAAAATAGTCAAATCTTGTTAATTATATATGTCGCCGGCACTAACAATTTAAAGGCGGAACAATATATTTGACTTCTGTTATGATTCATTTTACAAAGGCTGGAATTATGATTTGCAGTTTTATATCATTCTTTCTGTTTTTCGTAATATTGCATAACTCCTAAATTAATGCGTTATCAATGCATATTGATTATCAAAAAATACATTTTAAAACATTACAGATTATATCAGCATAACTAGAAGCTCTTGAAAAAACATAAACTGATAAAATAGGCAAAGTGTTTTTAATTTTTTTGTCTAATTGACCCAAACACAAAAATAGTGATTACATTAATAGTAAATCTATGAGAGGTTTTCGGAGAATAATGGATTTACAACTTATGCACGTTTTTTCATGAAATAAAAGCATCAGTAAATACAGGCTTAGCTTATCATTTTGCGTAAAATTATGTGGCGCCATCTTGAGAAATTTTGCTTATTGTATTGTGTGCACTGCATTATCATATTTTTGTACTTATGATTGATACTATTAGTGAAAATCAAGCCGATGCAAGATAAGTGAAATATAATATTGGGGACATTACAAACATTTTAAACTGCACAAAAGTCAAAACTGTTCTTTAGAAATCTGGAAACAAAGTGATCCCTCGGAAGCATTAATCACAACATAATTACATGAAAATTGCAGACCCCTGTTCATGAGAGATTATGAATAAGTGCAACATCCCTCATGCCCCCTAGCACCGGCTTACGCTGTATTCAATTCTCAACACTTAATAGTGCTGGTATCGATGATCACGAAGGACCAGAAAAATATAACAACACTGAAGTTTAAGTTTGAGTATATTAATTAAAATATTTTGAAAATCATATGATTATGCATACTGAGACACCATCAAATACAAAATATTATTTATCACTGTTACCGTAACATTTAAATTACATACTGATTTAAAGATATATAGTATATATATTAAACCACTTTATAGTTTATAAAGCAATTGAACAATGTATATATATTAAACCATTTTATAGTTTATAAAGCAATTGAACAAACATGTAGATAATATTTGATATAAATGATTGCTGTAGTGAAGAGGATGACTTGATCAATACTAAAATTTAACAGTTGTATTAGATACTTGATTTAAAGCCAGTGACCATTATCTGTAGCAAAAAGTAGATTCACAACTATTGTAATGTTAAAAAAGCCAAAGAAGCACACAACTAACATACTAATAAAAAATAGTTATTTAACTATTTAATTGAGGGATCCAAATATCTTTTCATTTGATGCAAAGTGAATTAAAAGTATTTGATTAAAAAAAAAATTGTCCGAATTAAAAGTTTGTAAATTTTCATAAACATTAAGAAATTGAAATGCACAATAAAGTATTCCTCTTAAGTTCGTCTTCTATTATAATACCTGCCATATCTATGAACTATACTAATATAATGTGACGTTTAAATTGATATGGGACCATAGCTTCGTTTTTAGAATAATACTAACATAGATTATATGAAATTCAATAAATTTTAAATGAAATAAATTGTGGTAAACTTTTCACATTGCACTCTGTTTTAGAGTCAATGGAAAAATAAATGCCCCACAAAATAGAAATTGAAAACAAGTGAAAAGTTACGTGATCCTGACAGTACGATATATATGAAATTGTCACTAGTATCAGCTTTGGCAACATGTTATATCTAAACTTAGAAATGAAAACCAACTCTTTACAAGGAACAAAACATGTATCTTATAACTAAATTGATATATCATGTACTCCCTACTCAAAAAATTGAAGCAAATAATCAAAATCGTTACATCAATCTTCAACTGTAGAAGATGCAAATTTAATAACCGCCTAAAAATACATTCTTGTCAACTAACATTACTATTATGTATTAAGTTTAGTTTTTATACATTAGGCCTCTTTGCATCTAAAATTAGTTTGACCTTCTCTCCAGAAGAATGCATCCCAACAGCAGGGTACATGAAAAAGAGGCCATAGACAAATTGCCGTTCTCCAACCTGAAAGAAAACAATAAACATGAACTGATTTTTTATCGAACTAGTAATAAAATAGAAGAAAAAGGTAAAGGTATGAACGAGTATAGTTACATCGATTCTTTTTCGAATAATTATTTACAAACCTTTAAGGTATATGATAAAAGTTTTGTTAAAATGTACTGGTAAAAGAAACACATAATCTAAAAAAACACTGTTTCACAGCAATTCACTACCTTTTTGCCATTTCTTGTAAAAACAGCATTCACAACAATTTTGACCACAAGTCCGCTGCAATAAATAAAATTATTTATTTAACATTATTGTTTGCAGGTAAAACATTTCAGAACCAGATTCGTATCATTTCATGTGTCATGTCGTTATCAGAAGACATCATTACATTTTTACAACTAGACTTCTATGTTTCTGCCATTTTGATTTTACTAAATAAAGAATAAAAAAGCAACATAATAGATCTTTAATTATACGAGTATGATAGATATCTGTTGACAAAATCTCAAATCTGAAACTGAAACTGTATAGTTACTTATTCGTTCTTGCCTTTTAGAGGTGAATGGGTTTTCGACATAACAACAGGATATTTACACAGAATTCCTTTTACCCCTAATGAAATAAAATGTTGATATGAATTTTCGTGTCATAATAATAGTTTTTACCGCTGTATACGACATCCGTTTATCCAGCAACCAATCCTGTCACCAACAAGACATTTCGGCCCAAACACCGTGCCGCTACCACTTTCGTGATAAAGCCTGGAAGATTAAACTACAAATACATTGCAAAGCATGTCACAACTTTTGCTTTACAGAGACAAAAGGCGCTATCATTGTTTTCTACACACTTATAAAATAAAACATTGATTTCTGATTAAATAAATGGCGTTGGAGTTCGCTCAACAGAAATCCATAGATAGATGATAAACAAGATATGTCAGAGTATCGACGAAGCTCGACTTATTAAATACTGGATGCAGTAATAAAAGACAAAACTATGACAAATTAAATTATGATATAAATATACATCATTCTATATTAGTCTCAAGAAAGCACCACTCAAATGTTCAATATTTTGCACCGACCATGTGAATAAAAGTTAAACAGACATTTCTATGCTCGAATGGAAAAGACAAAAATTTGAAATCTGAAGCCATTTCCTTAAATAACAAAATGATAGTCATCAAATAAAGATTTTAAAGTTAAATTATAAGTTTAAAGAGGAAAGAACTATTGAAATAAAGATGCTATCGTTATAAAAAGAGAAAATAAGAATCAAAAGACAAATTTAAAAGCAGGCCACATATCCTAAGGATGATTAAACAGTATTCAAGAACCACCCAATAAAAAAATTAAATTTCCACAAGCACAACGATAATTTCGTGCTGAACGACCTTTAAGGATAGGAAATATAACATCTCTGATGTAATATAAACCTCGTCATCCCCGTACGAAAACGTTGCAGGAATACGCATAAAATGTTCGTGTATATAAGATTTTCCTACTAATTTAAGACGGACATGTAATTTTGTAAAAATTCCTGCTAAGCAAAATCATATTCCGCCAAAGGCTTAGGAGGAAAATATGGGAAGAACAATAATTTAGACGGGGTTTAGGACTTTGAATTTTTGTAATCAGGAATTTTGTACTATGACTTTTTCATTAACCAGAAATTTAACTTAGAATGTTTTGCTAGACGGAAAATTCTCAACTTCTGCAGAAAACAGGTAAATTATAAAAAGTAAAAGTGATGAACATTTACTTTGCTGCTTTTATTCAATGTTGGTTTTCAAAACGAAATAAAACATATAAATATACATAATCATTAATTGATAAAAAACAACTCTACTACAAAATTAAAACTAAGAAGATTATTATGGTGTGGTCACTGTTGCAGAGAATATACTTCACTGTGTAAAGTTTGTGTATGAACTATTTCACTCATATATTAAGATCTTTAATTAATCTATGTAAAATTAAGGTTTGTAATATAATAAAATAACTAGTATCCCTTATAATTTCTTATTAGCAACCACTCTACTATAATGATTTACCACCACAGACCTGATAACACAGATCTGATAATGGTTTCCCTATCATAAGTTCTGCTACAGTCATAACTATTCCATTTGATTTTTTTTTTTTTGGGGGGGGGGGGAACGACTTTACACATTTTATATGAAAAGTCTGTATAGAAGGACATTGCGAAGTTTTCTTTTAAAAACTTTAAATAATTATGAATTTTGAATTCTACATTCTCCATTTATTTTCTGGTATGTTTGTATAATTGTAAAAATAAAACGATTGGTTGGATAATCCCTGTTTAACATCATATGATGTTTCTGTCCAGTTATACAGTTGTAAAATTTGAAATCTAAGGTATCTGAGTCAGCAAAAGCTTGGAAATTGAACAAATAACAAAAAAGAATCTTATTGATATACAAGAAATTGTGGAGAAAATATATATTAAGCAATTTTGGAGATAATATTTTGTTTAAAATGTTAGGATTGTATACAGTTGATTAAGACTTTGAGCCTTGTTGATAAAAATGACAATAATTTGGATATGCTTAATTGTAAA